CTAATGCAGCTAAAGTTATTGTTCATAAACAATAATGAACCTTTTTTTATCTGATATTTTGCTGTAAAAATCCAGTATTAATGTGTTAGTGGAAAATATAACGAAGACAAGTCCACCAAAATGAGACCCAACAATAAGGGGGGGGAATGTATCCGAGTTCTGTAATACTAATTCTGAAAGCATTTTGTGGTATGGAGTATTTTTATGTGATACAGTTGAATTTGTATCCAGAATTAATCTTGATTTTTCAAAGTCAATCCTATCTTTGGCTATGTGGCCTTTTATGGTTGTTTAGTTATCAATAGTCTACTCTGTTTGTTCATAAAGATGGTATTTTGAACAGAAGTCTTGAGAAGATGTTTTCACTAAATCAAAATATAAAATCAAGTTATATTTCACTGGCATTCATGTAGAAAAGCAACATAAGCTTTACTCAATATCCTCCATTTAGTATATTTTTTAAAACTTATTTTATCCAAAATAAAGTAAAATAGTTTATTCTGTCTTTAAATCTCCACAATACATTCACTTGTTTAACACAGACTTCTTATGTCTCCTCCAAACACATACATTCACCTTACAACCATGAAACCTTTATTACCACTTACAGAACTGAGAATACTACCGATTTAGAAAAATGTTTTGACCTAGTAACTCATCATGAAAAAAAAAAAAGGGTTCATTATTGTTTATGAAAAATAACTTTAGCTGCATTTATACTGGATTTTTACAGCAAAATATCAGATAAAAAAGGTTCATTATTGTTTATGAACAATAACTTTAGCTGCATTAATGTTTTCCACAAACATATATAAACATCATTCTTTCATATTCCGTGAATAAGTCACCTAAAGTTAGTTACTCAGTTACATGTTTCAAGTGTTTAAGTTACTTGTGTAATGGTGTTAGTTTTGAGCTTTTAGCTTCTTGTGCAGAGATATTAAGACTTTTGTGTTAGAACTACATACATTATCTTACTTTGGCAAGATGAGGAAGTCATTCTTGTGTTTTGTTTTGTATTTATGAAATGTATAAACAACTATCTTACAGTAATAGCTGGATGTACCTCAGGCCAGTTTCGATGCAGTGATGGAACTTGCATACCTTCTCAAGAGAGATGTGACAGTCACCAGAACTGTCCTGATGGATCTGATGAAAGAAACTGTCGTGAGTATTTTTGTAGTAAATCAATGCATTTTTGTATACGTTTCTACCTTTTGTTAGAGTAGTGTGTAAAATTTTGCTCATATTTCAAATTTAATATTTTCTCTTTATGGTAAAAAGTTCTGCTAGTGGCTTTACACTCCTTCAAGATACTAATTTGTTGTAGTATAAACTTATGTTTTATAACTGGTGGCAAGTATCCAGTTTACAATTTAGGATTGGCATCAAAGCTTTTGAATTAAAGTCATCAAAACAGTATTATTTAGTGTAACATTCTGCAGTCTTATAACTTGCTGATAGTGTATAAATTTATTCTATATGTGGAGCTACTGATATTGATGTAATCAATAATTTTAAACATAATTACATGTCTTGTTATATTGAAAGTTAAAAAAGTTGTAATAAGTTTGATTTTTGCTTGTATAGTTAAGTTATATAAGTTTAGTGTTAATTGGCTTTCAAGCACAAGCTGCAAGACAGGCTGCTCAAATACAGGAAGAGACTTTGGAACAACGTAAAGTTAGACTTCGAGCTCAAGCTGAAAGGCAGGCTACTCAAAGACAGCACGAAACTGTTGAACAGCACAAAGCCAGAGTTCAGTCAGAATCATCAAGGCAAGCTGGATATAGACAACAAGAAACTTCTGAACAACTTCTGAGCAAGTAACAGAGGAGCAACATGATGTACGACTTCAGGCTCAAAGAACAAGACAAGCTTAAAGATGATCTAATTTCAAATAAAGCTTTGTTTGATTAAATACTTTTTTTTTTCTCGCATCACCGTTTTTTTACTTACTGAATACCTTGCTTAAAAAAAATACTGATCTATACATTTCAAATCTAAATTTTCACCGTGCAACGCCGGGTAACTCCGCTAGTATTCAATAAATAAGGAGTTCAGTCATCAGAATATTTGCCATCATCAACAATACTCATCAAGATGAACTTTCCTGATCTTTTCATAGAAGCAATTTTTTTGAAACTCTCAAAATATTCAATAAGAAAATATTTTCAAGAACAAAGATTTTTTTCTAAGGAATTTACAAAAAAAAGTTCCAGATGAACTAATGTAATAATAGGTGAAAGTAACCTCTTTTTCTGGACAGTAACTCAGTTTTATTTTTGCTTATTAAGCAACAACTAGTTTCTGAGTTTGAGTATCTTAAGAGGACTTTTAATTGAAAGAATTTGGCCAGCCTCACTGATAAAATAACAATTGTTTAGTAAGATAATTAAAGTTTTAATATGCATTCAACTATCTAGACTTTGTGTTAATAATGCGGAACGATAACAATGCACACAAAGTTTGTTTTTGTTTAATTCAAGTTCACATCATAAAGATGGAGTATCACGGTTCTCAGAACTATGTAATTTTTGTAAAAATGTACCCTTTTTTATTTTTCTCCAGATTAATGACAATATTTCGAGAGACGTGTAACCTTAAAACAAATATTTCAGAAACTAATCCTAAAACATTTCAAGAACTTCAGTTTCTGTTTAAATCTGGAATGGCACCTCTCCTCCTAACAATTGAATCATTTCATTAGACAAAAAGAATGTAATGAAATGATTAATCAGCCGTTTCTTTTCATTTTCTTTTCTTTGATCAAGTTAAATGGTTTTCCTTTTGAAATAACGAATGTTAAAAGCAAAATGACGAATTTTCATGGCTTGGCTACAAATTAAAAACAATTCTAGGATAGAAGCAATTCGCCATTGAAATAATGTGATACCAGAAGCTTTCTTTTCAGCACTTTGTGAACCAAAATATGAAAACGAATAACGAAAGTTTCTTAAATCAAACCTTTTCTAGTTAAGCAGTTTGTATAATTGAATGGATTTCCTTTGTTATGAAGCTTTCCATTAGATCTTTTTATTCATCCTTGCAGGAGCTAGGTATTGTCACTTTCTCACAAAACCATAAATTATTGCTTACACCATTTCAATAATTCAACTCTGACAAAATAGTTCATAATATACTCTATACACCATTATTTATAAAATCACTGGTGATGGTTCAGATCACATGCAATAAAACCTTGAAATGGTGAAAAGGATGGGCTATAATAATAGCCTCCCAAATACAGAACGAAAAAAATAGTAAAAAAAATAACAACAAAAAACATGGCTAATTATATTTTCAAAAAATGATAATTTCGTAATAAATATAAGCCAATGTGTTGGGATGAGCAGAAAAATCCTAGAAAAACAGTTTTGTAGAGCTCTAAGAAAATACAAGTTTTAAGATTTTTCACACTTCCTTGTGAAATATTAAAAACAAATTTAGATACCTATATCGGTAACAACTATATGTTAACAAATATATGCCAAGCAAGTTCACAACTTTCAAGTGGTAGGAAACACGATTGAAGTTCTAGCATTTATTTTAACTAAGTAAATGTTGCAAAATGATAAAACAATAATTCTAAAATACTTTTGGGTTAAAAATTGAGGGAATAGAATAGTTATTTGTACTTCAGTTTTGAAATATTATATGCAAGTGATCTCTAACCACCTAAAAGGTTACACAAGCAAATGATGATAGTCTAAAAAATTAAATATATTAGCTGTGCTGTGTCAACTTTAAAGATTAGTGTTTCTATCAAAATTGTCACCATTATCTACACTCCATCAAAAATCCACTGTCGACCTGTTATATTCATAGAGAGAAAATTTTCATGTCTCGAGTGTAAAAAGAATCAAATTCTAATATTTATTAATTTTTACAGATATATCTATAAAAGGAAGTGTCTATGAAGCATCTCAAATACAGTAAAAAAGTTCACAAACAGAGAAAGAGTTCTAAACTTTACTACAAATCTGAAAAGTAGATTTTTAGCTTTAGTCGGTTTCCCAGATGACAATAATAAAAAAAATCTTGATTAAAATGAAGACAACCAATAACAATTTAGTCTCATATTTACATCAAACTTGCATACTTTCCCTAGAAGAACATGAGTGACGATTATTTTCAAAGAGCACTTACCACATTATTTGGTTTATGAATGAAATGGTTGAGGAAATCTCTCATTTCCTTTTTTCATGTTTTATTAAATATCCATGTTCAAACACAAGTAATCCAAAAGTTTATTTACAAACATTTTAACTGGGAGAACAGAATCAGTAATAATATTTCATAAGGATATTTGGAACATATATTCAGCAGAAAACTTCTATATCTAATAATTACATCATACTCTGACTATTCATTTTTTAAAATCTAGAATGACCTGAACCTGAACTTACGGCAATCTCTCTCATCTGAACTATCCTGACAGTCATTATACCCATCACACTTTCTCCTGGAGTCAATGCAGTAACCATTTCCACACATGAATTCATTTGGTTTGCATGCTAAAATGAAAGTATTTGATTCATCTTTTTACTTAACTGAAGTATAATAACCTTAAAAAGATATATGAACAAAGAATACTAGATATTTTGGATTAATATAAAACCATACATTATATACACACACACACACATTATATATTGTGTACACATATTATTCAAATTTAGTAAATAATGTTAAAGAAAAATTTTCCATTTTCCTTTCAAGTAATACTTAAGCTTCAATCAACAGTTTCAGAATTTCTAATGTTTTCATAATTAGTATATACTAGATGTACTTGCTCATGGTCCCCGAAAGTGTACTGTTTCATGAGTAAATAAAACCAAAATTAAGAGTAACAAAAAAAAAAAAAACTATAATTTTTTATTTCTTGCTATTGAAGTTTATATATTATTCTGTGTTGTAGCCCACAGAGTGCATAATTCTGCTTGTAATGCATGGCATGCACACATTTTACTGATGTCACTACAATGCAAATTGCAATGCTAATCACACTGTGATATTTTAGTGTCTACTGACTGACTGTCAAACACACTACTGTATTGTGGTGCGAGTGTTTAAAACAAGTAACCCCTTCAGTACCCTTTCCAGGAAATAACATTTACTTGTAACATATGCAAAGTAACTTAACAAATTTCAAAAGATGAGAAATATGCAATAAATTCCGAGGGACTTGTATATAAATTTCAAAGCATGTCTGTTTGACTTAAATCATTTTCTTGAATTAAGAGTTTTTATATACACACAGTATATATACACGCACACACATGCATGTAAAGTCTGGTGAATATCTGGTTCAAAATATACTAGTACAATTTTGAGTAAATTTTAAGTTAATGGTATACAATACAAATAGGATAACTAGTGTAATTCCATACTTTTCAAGGATTTCCCATACACTGTATGAATATATTTTTAAACAATAACTAAATTTTTTGTACTGCAAAATCACTTAATTCTATAATAAATGATTATATACTGCACTTCAAATCACTAAAGCTAATTCAAAACATCCTCACAGTATACTTCTCTAACATCTCAGGATTCCTCTTGGAATAAAAATGGTAAGTTTCAATTAAAAAAGTTCCATTCTTTAAAAAGCTAGCTTTTGAATATCTTTCATTAAAATAGTATGTTTTACACATAACACTAAAAGTTAATATGTGTTAGCTTTATAGTGCATCATGTTTAAAACAGCTTTTTTATATTTCAATTAGTCTTAGAGGAATAAATGCTAAATGCAAATTGGAGCTTGATAATTCTATTTAAAACAATACTGTAGACTGTAATCTATTCCAATATTGTCACAGTTCTATTTTTTTGTTGTTAGGATTACTAAAATTTGAATACATGTCTTGTGAAAGACCAAAAAGTATTCACGGTTACACCTGAAGCAAAAAACAAGTTAAATATTCATTACCATACATATTTCTTTGATTCCGTTCTTCTTCTGTTTCAGCTGCTCTTTGTGCTTGAATTCTTTGATTCCGTTCTTCTTCTGTTTCAGCTGCTCTTTGTGCTTGCATTCTTTTAGCGGCGGAAGACTTTCCTTAGAAAAGATGTTTCTTGGGTGGCATAATCACCTGTATCACTAAATAATAATTTGTAATTCACAAAGTTACTAAATCACTTATGAAACCACTTAGCACTATTTAAAGAAAACTGTTTTTGGAAATACTGAATTGACAGCAAGGTGATCTGAGTGTCTCCCGCCAGAACGCTTTCTATGTGCAAAACGTGCTTATGTTTGTTCATTACAAACAAATTTATTACACAAAAATGGCGCAATAATCATTAATTGTCAATTTCGTCATTAAATACTATAAGAAATACAAACTAAATAGCACCATTAAATTTCTTGTAAAAAACTGGTTATTATGAAGT